TTGAACACCATCCGATTCTCGTCCGCCCACTTGCTGAGCCTGTCCAGGTCAGCCTGGATAACCTGCCTGTCTTCTGTTGTGGATGCTTTGCCCCAAAGTTTGGTGTCATCGGCGAACTTGGCCAGTCCGCTTCTGACTCCAGTGTCCACATCATTAATGAAGATGTTGAACAGTATGGGTCCAAGGACAGAGCCTTGGGGGACCCCACTGGTCACAGGACACCACGATGAGTGACTTCCCTCAATTACTACCCTCTGGATCCGACCACGGAGCCAATTTTCCAGCCAGTGGATCGTGGAGGACCCAAGGCGACAATTGGCCACTTTCTCCAAGAGGTGATCATGGGACACCAGATCGAAGGCTTTTTTGAAGTCAAGATATATGACCTCAATCTCTTCTCCCTTGTCCAGGTGATAGGTCACCTGGTCGTAGAAGGAAATGAGATTGGTCAAGCAAGACCTACCCGCAACAAACAGAATATAAAAGTATAACTTTAAACAGCTGTTTGCTGTCATGGAGCCATAATAAGTCTCTTAACTGAAAAGCAATCAAGAACATTGTCTTAAAAGACTACAGTGCTATTGCTAGACAGCACCAATGGCTCATCGCTTCTGATGGTTCATCTCCCTACAATAGTCAAAGCCAACTACTTAAGAAAAAAAAAGGTAAAATTCATCTGACCACAGTACTGACTGTGGGACTGAAATGGAGGGAATATTCTTCCTGATCCCAAATCAGGATCTCAAATCTGTTTTGTGTAGATTAAATAGGCTGGCAGGCCTATCATCTTTATTTAATGGCTGTCACTGTTCTTGTAAGTAGTTATTGAATTAATATGCTACAACACAGCCCAGAGTCAAAAGACAAAAAAAAAAAAAAAAAGAGAAATCCTCTTTTCTTTGGTGCCACCATCTCAAACATGGTGCTGCTCAAATGATCTTGAACTCAACCCAATTCCAAAATAATTATGATCCAATACCCATATTTCCCTGTTTATTGAGATTGAGACTGTAGACTCAGCTACACTCCCTCCTTCTCATATAATTCAGTGATAGTTTATTTGCATATATTTAAACAACTAAAGACAAGTTTACTGGAGGACTTTTCATTCTGGATTTTGTTTCTCCTGCTGAGATGACAGCCATACATTTCTGATCACACAAGAACAGTAAAGGTGAGTGCATGCAGCTGACTTTTAAAAGGAGAGATGGTGAGAGGACGTGTCTTGCTTTTGCTCATTAAAATCCTCTTTATAGTTCTTGTATGTGGCTCAAACACAATAGCAGGATAATTATAAACAAAGTCCTAAATGTCCTCTCTCTACAACGGCCAATTTTCTTCTTGGAATTTAATGATGTTAAACAGTTCAGGGAATTTCATTTCTAAGCCAACTGGCCCAAATGAGTTCAGGTGACCCCATTACCCATGCAAATTGTGTTGCTATATCCCTCCAATTCCTAATGAAACATGCGCTCACACTGCAGAACCAGCAGTACTTGGTTCTCTTGCTTGGAAATTAGTTAAGGAAGCCTAAAATTGAATTTATGGTGCAAGTCTCTCTCTCTCCTAGCAAGATATGAAACACTCCTAGAATGGTGGCAACTGTAGCTGGTTGAGGAACAGCTAAGGGACCTCTGCACAGCTGAAAAACCTAAAAACAAAATTAAATGAAAACAGCCAAATGACCCACCTGGTGGAGGACCAGGAGGAAGACCAGTGGGTGGCCCTGGGGGTCGCAGAGGAGGGGCAGGAGGTGGTCCTAGTGGAGGTGGCCCAGGCATAGGAGGTGCCTGTATCTGAGCTGGAGGAACAGGCTGTGGTGGTGGTTGCTGCTGTGGCTGGGGCTGGGCAGCTGCAGTAGATGATCCAGTCTCAGTCAGAGACTCCTCTGTGTGTTGTTGTTGTGATGGCGATGTCTCTTCAGTTTCTGAGTCCTCCTCCTCCTCATCCTCTTCTTCCGAGTATTCCTCCACTTCTCGGCCTTCCTCTGGAATTTCCTGACCTAAAGACAAAAAAGAGAATGTATTTGGGGGAGGGGGCGGGCAACCTTTTTGATGGGTGTGCCACAAATTAACCCTGCTCCCTGCCCTCACCAACTGCCACTAATCCCTTTCCCTCACCCAACCCGCAGCTCAGCTCCCTGTTTCCTGCCCTGTGCTCCCTGGCTGATCCGATGCGCTACATTCTGTTTCCTGCCCTATCTGCCACTGAGCTGCCTGTCCCCTCCCCAGTCTGCCCATACCATTTGTGGGACCTATGCCACAGGTTGGCCACCCCTATATTAATCAACTCATAGCTACTACTATCATAACACCACAGAAAAACTGGACTACATGGTATAAGGGGAAAGAAATCCTTACCCCACACTAATGGTGAATAAACTGATATAATTTAGATACCATACAAAACATACAGTAAAAGGATTCTAATGGAACTCACTAGTACTGTATTTTCAGGACTTACTAACAGTTACTTTGGTTTCCACCAAAGTATGCAAAATATTTCTTAGAGGAATATTATTGTAAACTGATGCTATCACTTGAACTATAAAACAAGCTAGAAATTTTCCCTCCCTCCCTCCACCCCCTTGTGCACAAACAGCTTCTTTTTAAGAGATTTAAATGCTTTAAGGAGTGAAAGAGAGGAAACTTAACTTGATGCAAATGTGGCATTAAAGTATAAAAAAAATGTTAGGTTGCCCATGTTCAAACTAGGCTTAATACTAAAAGACTTTAGATTACTGGGTAACAATTCAGTTTTAGATTTATTCCCTCTTTCCTCCTCTTAAAGATGTTAGCTTTTCATTAATCTAAGTTTTCTTCATTTAAGGTTGAAAAATTAAGCAAGCAGAAAAATTAAGGTTCCTTCAGCAACTTCAACTCTGCCACTCTTCATTCATGTAGTACTTTCTATTATCTGTTTAAAACAACCAGTCACAGACTAAATCAATCAGTTATTAAACAGTAACTGCAGAGCAGAATTACACAATCAGTGAAGGGATACTTTGGAATTTCCTCTGACTACAAAAAGTTAACTTAACAGGCCAGCCAATATCACATTCCCAGTGTACCTTATTTTACTTTATACTTTATGTCACAAAAAGCAGAAAATGTGCAACTTGTCCAGAAATACGTTTGCTTTAGAAATCTTAATTTATGACTTTCCTGATGCTTAATTTCTAAAGTTAAAGTCACACATTAATGTAAGCTAATAGTTTTACTTAGTTAATACACACCCTACAGTCTATTCAAGTGATGTGTCCAGATTTTTTTTTAATCAACTTAAAGTTAACTTTTGCATATCAGTATTGCAACAGTAAAACCTGAAGTTATGGCTACAACTATAATTAAAACATTTTAAAAGCACCCATTTACTTTGTTCAGATAAGTAAAGTGCGTGTATAGGCAGTGGGCACAACTACACGAGATGCTACATCGCCATAGCTCGCTGCTGGAGCAACGTAGCATTGGCAGGCACAAACCATGGCATCGGCACTACTGTGCAGTAGCTTGTTGCTACTGCACAGTGGCATCAGAAATGACCCATGTGACACCAGGACTGCACAGTGACAACAGTTACTGTGCAGTCCAGTGCACGTGTAGATGCACCCAGTGCCACCATTCTTCTTTCATCCCTTAACCACACCCTCCATCAGATACATGCTCTTTGTTTGATAGTGTCCATTCCTGTTTAGATTCTGCAAGAACACTTTCCGATAACAGCAACACAAAGCTGAAACTGAAGAGGCAATAGAGAGATGTGTACACAGAAAGAGGATGACTGATGGTCTGGCACATATACATTATTGTAGCCTTGGGGAAAAAGACCCTTCTAAGTATCAAGAGAGTTTTTGCCTTCATTGTTAATGCAGGCCATTTTTTAAAAAGCTTGTCTTTAAGATACAGGAGTGGATAGTGTTGTTGGTTTTTTTCCTTTAAGTTAAAAAGCTTTCTCTGTCCTTCATATTCAACTCAATGCTTCAACAGCTACCCTGAGCAAATTAAACCACTATACGCTCTTTAACTGCTAGAAGCAATTTCTTAACCGATTTCCCGTAACTCGTTTCCTTCTATTATTTCTGTAATATCCTGACCTTTATGCATAGCACATGGATAAGGAAATTTTCACTGGGAGGCTTTCTACACAATTCACACTTTCTTACTGTAAGGTAACTAGAGAGATACAAGTTCCAATGTTGATAACCTGCTAAGGAACCTAACTGTTTACCTGCCATTCGCAGCATCATGGCCTGAAGCGGAGTCAATTCCTTCATGTTCTTTTTTCTTTTCCGTGACTTGCCAGGCATGTCGGCAAACCGCACACTGTGACCTACAAAGATGGGGGGGGTGGAATTCAACATGCATGAGAAAATAGAGTTTTACTCTGATGTGAGTAGCACCTTAAATACAGAGACTACTTACATATGTGAAAAAAACACCACTTTAAGCTTGGCATACCCCCACTGAATGCAGCACATGCTCAAAGGACGCATTTCATTAGTTTGAACTGGCTCGCCCAACATCCATATAGACTGGGCACTTCAGTGGGGCTTTTGGGGACTTATCTAATAGCTGATTGAATCACCTTTAGATAAAAATGCCAAAAAGCCCTGCTGAAGCACCCAATCTATACAGATGTTGGAGCACCAGGTTAAACTAACACAATTCCTCTTCCAGCAAAGCGCTATTTTTTGTGGGGGGGTTGTTCACTTCTGTCAGGAGCCATAGTCTTCAAAACAATAACAAATCTTAATATTATTAGCCTCTTTACTTTCTACTAACCTAAACTTTGCTACCAGTTTCAAATAGGGTTTGTTTGTTTTTTTACTTCCACTCAAACTTCAAATTAATCTGTAATACAGAAAGGCTTCTTAGAAAAGACACTTAGCTATTGGTTCTAATAGTTTATGTGCATTGAGACTTTAAGTCATTAAAGTGGGGATATGCCCTTGATTCAGACTCAAATTTGCACAGTACAAGTTTCTGACCCAATGCTTTAGCTTTAAAATGCTGTTATTCTTAAAAAAAAAAAAAAAAGAGAGACACAATGGAGTCTGAATATTCATTCATCCTGGATCTTAAAAGTATAGCTGGGTTCCTCCTGATCCATTAATCACAATAATAAATATTCTGCAGTTAAAACCATAGTAATAATTCAGCCATTATAAAGTACAATGGCGCAGTTCTTAAAGCTATCTGAAATCAGACTTTTTGGCAGAAAGCCAAACTCTAAAGCCTATATGTACACATCAACCAAGCTGAACTGTTCAGTTAAGATATTGTCATTTTTAGTCACTTTTCAAGTTATAACCTCTCACTACGCACCTTTCTTTTCTTCTCCACCATCCCTTTCCTTGTCATTGTCACGATGTAGGAACTCATCACCATCACTATCTGCATCTGACCTGTCGCTATCACTGTCATCACTGCTCTCATCATGCTTGTCTTGATCCATGTCTTCTGGGTATCCTTCATCTTCACTGGTACTGGAGACTTCATCGTCATGTCCTTGTTGGCCTGAGGAAAGCATAGAATATCAGGAAGCCAGAAAACCCCATGCCAATGTGGAAGGCTCATTTCAATCAATTTTCTGACAAACCCCATTCCAACAAGGAAGGGACTCATTGTCCAAAAAACATCCTTTCAGAGTCTATGGCAACATAAGAGATAATTAAGTTAGTATCTGATAGAATAATGTATCTTCAAAAACAAGCGACTTCTCTTTACTATCAGAAGTTGTGATGTAGGAGGAAGGAGGGACAGGAAGTCTTACTTCAATCCTGGGGAAGCTCTTTGAGAAGATTATCAAGGAGCACATCTGTGATGGGCCAGCAGCAGGGATGATGTTCAAGGGCAACCAGCATGGTTTCATTAGGGGCAGGTCCTGTTGGACCAACCTGATTGCCTTCTACGATCAGGTCACAAAAATCACTGGATGCAGGTGTCGCGGTAGCTGTAGTCTTTCTGGACTTCAGGAAGGCCTTTGACACTGTCTCCCACCCCATTCTCATTAAAAAGCTAGACAACTGGCATTGATGCCTATACAGTCAGATGGATTGCAAATTGGCTGAGGGGTCGTACTCAGGGAGTGGTGGTGGACAGGTCATATTCGACCTGGAGGGAAGTGGGCAATGGAGTCCCCCAGGACTCAGCCCTTGGGCCCGCACTGTTCAATTTCTTTATTAACGACTTGGAAGACAGGGTGAAAAGCACCCTGTTTAAATTCGCAGACGACACCAAGATTTGGGGTGAGGTGGGCATGCTAGAAGGGAAGGACAGATTACAGCGGGACCTGGACAGGTTACAGGGGTGGGCAAATGAGAATAGGATGGGATTCAATACTGACAAGTGCAGGGTGCTGCACTTGGGCAGTAAGAACCAGCAGCATACCTAAAGGCTGGGGAACTCCTTTCTCGAAAGCACGGTGGCAGAAAGAGATCTTGGAGTCATTACTGACTCCAAGATGAACATGGGCTGACAATGCGAGGACACGGTCAGTAGGGCTATCCGCACCTTGTCATGCATCCTCCCCTTCTATGCAACACTGGTCAGGCCGCAGCTGGAGTACTGCGTCTAGTTCTGGGCGCCGCACTTCAGGAGGGATGTGGACAGCATCGAGAGGGTCCAGAGGAGGACCACTTGCATGATCCGGGAACAGCAGGGCAGACCCTACGAGGAGAGGCTACAGGACCTTAGCCTGTTCAGCCTTCGCAAGAGAAGGTTGAGGGGGGACCTGGTGGCCGTCTATAAACTTACTGGGGGGGACCTGCGGGGGTTGGGAGAGACCTTGTTCCCTCGAGTGCCTGCCGGAGTAACAAGGAATAATGGCCATAAGTTGTTAGAGAGTAGGTTTAGACTAGACATTAGGAGGCACTACTTCACAGTCAGGGCGGCTAGGATCTGGAACCAACTTCCAAGGGAAGTGGTGCTGGCTCCTACCTTGGGGGTCTTTAAGAGGAGGCTTGATGATTACCTAGCTGGGGTCATTTGAGCCCAGTTCACTCTCCTGCAGGGGGTCAGACTAGAAGCTCTACAAGGTCCCTTCTGACCCTACATCTATGAAAAAGATTCTAAGACAGAAATCTCATTTCTTTTGGCCTGGTTACCAACTAGCTACCAGGCTATTTTTGGATACTATCTAACCAGCACCTAAAATTTACCAGTTCATTTCTGTTTATCAATTTCTCCTCTTTTGAAATTGCCTCATTATCCATCCCATTTTTATCGTTTCTGGCCCCCTGCTGACAATTGTTACACCCGAAAAGAGAAAAAAATCCTTAAAACAGTGAAACCTATTCAGTTATATGGTGCTCAAACATTCCTGAAGATCCTGCAGAAGGCACAAAACTGGAGGGTACAATCAGTTCCCCCCTTAGCATTGTAAATCCTATACATGCTATTGGTAAGAACATGTAGAATTTTTTCTGGAAGAGGTTGTAAGTTCTCAGCTGAGAAGCTTCTCTGGGGGATGTTCTCAACTACAGGATCCCTACAATTCTGCAACCCAGTCAAACCCATGAGAGAATTCCCCACACACCCCCAATTCAACTGCACTGATGGCAAAACCAAAAATCCGAATGTTGCAGCTGGCATCATCATCAACTGTTAAAAGTGAAGCTCATGTTGAACGCACTGATAAAGTTACCATATGCATCATACTGGCATTAACAAAAAAGAGAACCAGCACATAATCTTTCAAGAGCAGAAAAGTACTTCCAATTCAACAGCATAAGAATTTCAGGTTTTTGTACAGTATGTCAATTCTCTATGACCTTGTAAAAGCCAGGCTCAGGTAATGTAAGCATACATATTCCCTCTAAAACAAATGCCATGTCAATATGAACCAAACTGTACAGCTACCCTGTAATACTATCAAAGAGGAATAAAGAAAGGAAGAAGAAAATAACCTGAAAAGCATCTTTAGTGAAGGGCTAACATGAAGACTGGGAGAAGCAGTAGCTTGTTACCTGCGTCAGAACCATAAGAAATCTCCTCCTCTCGTCTCCGAGGAGCCATGTCCAAGGCAAAGCCCACTTTACGGCCGTACATCTGCAGGACCTGCGGTGGGGGTGGCCCTGGGGGTGGCCCAGGAGGCTTCCTGCCTGGGGGTAATCGTGGAACGCCAAGTCCTAGAGGAGGAAGTACAGAAATGGACCGGACTGGAGGTCTGAAATAAAAAAGGACAGAGATCAACATGAAAGCCTTTGCCCCCTTCCTTATAAAGCACCTTCAAGACAACCTTTTATACACATACAGGGAAATTGGCAAAAAGAATAAAGCAGACCTGCAGTAGTCCCTCCCCCCCCAACACACACAGATGCACAAGCACCCATGGCATGAGTTTTGCCTGTCAGCAGCTAGAGGTGCAGGGCCTCTAGCAGTTTTCACCCCGCTGTGGCTTAACACACACGTGACACAAGTTTTGCCATCAGAACTTTGGGATGCAGTTTCCCAGAAACGCCTGCACCTATCACCTTGAAACTTGGCACGTCATGCTCTCAGCAGACGCTACCATCCCTGCAAGTTTCATCTGAATCAACCAAAAGACAACAAAATTATAGATATTTCACTGATTCCCCATTATACCCTACGGCTGAATCTTTGAATCGATGCAGAAGGTCCGAATCGATTCGGAAAGCCTAAAGCAGGGGTGTCCAACCTTTTTGAACGTGGGGCCGGATCATGAACTTTTTATCACCCAGTGGGCCGGCGAGCCATATTCAAAGACCTCACAGGAAGCGGTATCACATCACCACCCCCCCGAAACGAAAGTATAGTGTTTACTTTCGTTTCCCTTCGCAGCACCTCGGGCCTCAGAAAACGGCTTGGAGGGCTGCATGGCGGCCCGCAGGCCGTATGTTGGACAAGCCTGGCCTAAAGCTTCCCGTGATTTGATTCGGATTCGTAGATTTGGCCTCCAAATCTGAATCATGATCCAAAGCTTTGCACAGCCCTACAAAAGACTAAAGAGACACATTTATCATAACTGAAATTAAGGCACAAAGCAGACTTTTAAACAGAAAGGATGGAAAGAAAGGTTCAAAGTGGAGATGAAATACTGACAGTACTCTAGATTCACCATTTACTCAGGACTTCTATTATCATTTCTTCCCCTAGCTGTTGCTTCCCACTCACCCTCTTTCCACCCAACAGATTTTGTTAGCTCTTCAGGACATTTCTTTCTTACCCATAGGCTGATGTTTTCTTGAGGATAGAAGGTGGTTGGGCTCCAGGTAAGGGGATGTCTTGTATGAGGATGTTGGAGGGGGCGTGAGGCATGTCTGGCAAGGGAATACTTTCCACTTCGACGTGCTGGGCATTCTGGGAGAATTATAAACAGCAGGCAGGTTAACCATGCAGGAGGTAGAGGTAACAGAATATTGTGCACCCTCCTCAGTTTGCAGAATGTGAAAGGAAGGGTGTCAATAACCATCAACAAAGGTGAGTATCTCAAAGATGCGTTACTCCTTGCATCTGTTCCTTGAACAGATCTTTGAAGATCTGAAAAAACTGATGAGATTACACATTAAAATCAGATCAGGCTAAGAGCAATTAAAAACTTGAATGACTACACATTAAGGCTCGTTAACTAGTGCTAAGTGCTCTTGTGGCATCTTAAAAAGTTACACCACTCCAGACCAGATTTATCTTTGAGCTAGGCTCCTAGCAACTGAAGACGGGGTGGGGGGGAAGGGGGGCCAAGGAGCTGACCGTCAGCTGCAGGGCCCAGTGGGGGCTGGATACAGGTTCAATGGGGTGGCACAGGCTGCAGGGAGTCTGGAAGCAGGCAGGGAGGGGGATTCCCCACCACCAACCACCACTGATCTTGGGCCAACTGGGTTGCCAGGCCAGTGATCCACGAGTGGAGGGAGAATCTAGGGGTTGGAGGGAGGGGGGTAGCAAGCTGATTTGGGGGTGGAGCAGGAGATCCAAGTGGCACTGGAAGGCCCTCACCCTTCTCCTCCCTAGCCTAAACTCTGGCTAGAGAGCCAGAGACCAGGGCAGGTACAGAGTAGACTTGCAGCCCCTAGCCATAGCAGACTTGCAACTCACCAGCCTTCTAGCAGCAGGTCTGAGTAGTGCACATTAGAGAAGGTATTAATCCCATGACTGATCACTAGCACTAGTTAACCTTAATACAGGCTAACATTCTTAAGGATTAGCACCTGCTAACTCTAATGTGTAATCTCACCCTAAAGTCCCTAATGGCAAGGTCCCACACAGAGTCTGCCCGTGAAAAAGCCTACCCTGTTCAAATCAAAGCCTGGTCAAGCTTAAAGATTTTCAGCCCACAAAGCAATTATTTCAGACAAAAATGCTCATGCCCTTCCTAAGTATGTGGGAGTAGCAGCAGCTATAGGAATTTGTACATTACAAAGGAACATTTCATAGAATCATAGGAAATTAGGTTGGAGGGACCTCAGGAGGCATCTACTCCAACCCCCTGCTCAAAACAGGACCATGATCTTCCCAGCCAAAGCTTTGTCTAGCCAGGTCTTCAAAACCTCCAAGGATGAAGATTCCACCACCTCTCTGGGTAACCTGTTCCAGTGCTTTACTACCATCCTGGTGAGAAAGGATTTCCTAATATCTAACCCAGTGGTTCTCAACCTATGGTCCACATGCAGTCCAATCAGCACACTGCTGTGGCCCATGTGACAAACTGTTAAAACATTTTTAAATGGATGCACAGGAAGTAAACTGTGCAGGTGCAACCCACATAACGCATTGAGAGCAAGTGTAGTCCACTATGGCAGACAGGTTGAGAGCCACTGATCTAACAAACTTCCCTTGTTCTGTCATCTGCTGCCACTGAGAACAGTCTAGCGCCATCCTCTTTGGAACCACACTTCAGGTAGTTATAGGCTGCTATTAAATCCCCCCTCATTTACAGATGATCAGCTCAAAGCTTAGGGATTTCATGAAGGGGACCATTAGAAACATTGATAATTAAAGGCTGAGGTACAAGTTCATTACCCTAAGCATATGAATTAACATCAAGTTAAGACAAAATCTACTGTATATAGTGTGAAAAACATCTTATAAGCCAGGATATAGGAAGTAGTTAAATACCAGGGCGTGTGCTGTTCAAGCTATAGCAAAGTCATCCTATAAATTAAATCCAATACCACACAGGAGCACAGAGGCAGTCAAGGCATAAGCTATGTAGCCTGATAAAATGCTCAACGTGGAAGGGGTTGAGTATCAAAAACAGTCTTTCACAAAACACTTCTCCTTTGTAACAGCCACATGTAAACAAGGAACAAAGCAAGAGAACTATCAGTGTCATATGCCCGTAACCATGAGTGATGTTACCTTGACAGCATCAAAGTACTGGCTGAGCTGCGATCTCTTCTGTTCATACTCCACTTCTAGCTTGCGCAGTTCTTTGTATATGTCAGGATTTTCCTTTTCATAGAGACGCAAGATACGCTCAAAGGTCTCACGTAATTTCTTACGCTTGTCCTTTAGCACCTTCTCATTAAGTTGTGGCTGCTGTACTGGGTTAAACTCTGATCCAGGACAAAAGCCCAGGAAAAAAAAAAAAGGAGAACTTGTAATAGGAACCCTGATTAGTAACTGAATTACACTGCATGCATATTCACAAATGAAACATCATCCAAAGAGAGAGTGACAAGGGCCTTAAGATGAATAATTTCTTCACCAGGTCTCCAGGCCTTATATGGAGCCACTCCTTTATACATGCTCAGATTCTGACAATATGAACTACACTCCCTTACACGTTTGTCTTCTCACTGAAATACCTAGGTCATCCACCTTCTTCAATAACCATAAAAAAGGGTCACAAAACATCCAAAAAGAACAGCTTTCCCATCCACAGAACTCTCTCCCCCTCCCCATTTCTTCTAAAAAGAAAAGCTCATATAATCAATTTCATCCAACACAAACAAAATAAATTTAGGGGATTAATGCAGGGAACTATCATCCTGTCTGATGTTTCCTGATCTCCCCTCACCCTAAACAAGTCTCCCAGATGCTACACACTCACCCATCTCATCCAATTTTTCCATGTCCCGGATGATCTGCTTAGGATCCTTCATCTTTAATACAGCTGCTCGTACCATCATCCTCTGTTTTTTGTTCTATAACAGAGAATAAAGAGATAGAAAGAGCGTCACTCTACGTTAACTGGGAAATGAATGCAACCTATGGTAAATAAATGCAACCTATGGTATCATAAACTTCTGTCTAAAATTTAGAATCCTATGACTTCTAAAATATGGGAGAAACTCCATACAACCTAAAGAAAGAGGTTTAGGTTTAGTACTTTAAGATGCTAAAAGTACTAATCACATAACATACCTAGAAGGACTTTTAACCAACTTCTGATACTAATATAACTTGAGGAGTATCTTGTATACTTTCAAGACACCTCCTCCTCCAGTTTTGACAGTTTTGGGATCCCAACATAATTGCTCCCATATTTATTAAGGTTTTCTTCTTCCCTGTTACCTTTCTATAAGGGCCAAAGGAACCACAAGGGAAAACTAAGCAAATGGGACATAGTAACCCCAATAACAGAAAAGTGCTACCAAAAGCACAAAGCAGACAGGGAGGAGGGGGAAAGGGTTAGGGTAAAAAAAATTTCAGACAAAAACATGATTTAGGTTATCAATATCCCTTTAAGACAAACAGCATCTTCACAACATAGAAAGGCTTTTGAGAAGCCTGGAGCCAGTCTGCTCATTGCCTAAAGTCCACTGCAGTTGGAAACATGAAACAAACAGGACAGCAATACCGTTGCTGACACAATGGCTTACCTTCTTCAGCTCCCTCTTCCGGGCCTCCTTTCCTGCAGAAAGGAAGGAAACAGACAACTTGAAAAAAAAGTCAGTCAAACCCAGCCAGCATAACATTTTTCTTTTGCAAGTACTTCAGTTCTGTTTCTCAACAGTTTGCTGATTTGAAAACCAGTTCTATCCACCCCTCTTTTCTCAGTCCTAGAAAAATATGCTTAGTAAAAAAAATTTCAGACACACTATGAAAGATAGACAACAGCAGTCCCCAGACCACTAAAAGCAGAGATATTTGCAGTCACTCACTCAAAAATGGAAGCAGATGTTTAATTAGAACAATTGTTTAAATTTAGTTCTAACAAAACAACAAATACTCTGGAGATGGAAACAATCTGTGTGCTGAACAGGCAAAAAGGAATTCAATCAGGAATCTGACTTGATCCTTCAGTTACTTTTCATTGCCATCTGTCAAAGAAAAAGCCAGCATGCTATATCAAGCATTTTTCTAGATACTCACGGGCCTGGTCTGTGGGGTTCATGAACTTTCCACTCTTGGTGGAGGATGTAGATCTCCGCCCCATCTTGGCCTGTTTTTTCTCTTTTCACTGCCACCTCAAAAAATGGATGAGTAACCTGAAAACAAAGCCACAACATCAGATTCTATCCGTCAGTAATGATAAGCATGCTCCTATTCTTCCTCTCTCCTTCACCAAACTAATAGCTGCTGTCAGTATCCATCACATCTTTAAATCCCAGCTCTTGTGAATGCACAGAATTCAACTGCATGCAAGCCCCAGGTATGGATGCACAAACAAATACTGTGAAGTAAGAAGTGTGAACTTACAATGCATCATTTTGTGATAACTGCCCACATGTATGATCTTACCACACAATAAATACAAAGTAGCTTCTGCTTACCGAAACATTTTTAGTGGGAAGTCATTTGGCACCAGGTAAGGGCACACACATGGGCAGTTACTGCAAAGCAGCTGTGATGTGATCTGAAGGATATGTTGTGGGAATGTGCTTGCACCCATTCCCTCTGGCACATATACAAAGCAAGATAACTATACCATTTTATCAACAAGCGACTCCCACAACCCACACTAAGTACATTGTTTGTATTTACAGGTGAGTTTTGCACACTGCTGCTTCTGCTAAGCGCACTGCACTGACCAGTGCACTGCTTCTTGCTTTTTTTCCATTGCTACCTGTTTCCTATGTACTTCGGTTTCACTCCAGGTGCTCCCCTTTCACACCAGGGGCTCTTGCGCACTTCCTTTGCCCCAGTCCCACGCCCCTGAGGCTTTCTGCGCAACTCCCATGCTAGGGGCTCTGCATACACCCCCATTCCCTTTTCCTCCAGACTGGCTCACTGCACAGTCAGGTAAGAGACTCCTTTCCTCACCACCCCTCAATTTCTGTGCGCCCCGTGTGCTCTGCTCTCCCACTAACATTTTCTCCCTTCTCTGGGGCTGGCTGTTTGTTCAGGGCTTCAAGCTTAAATTCGGCTGGCCTGGCAGACAGGAAACGTTATGCTGGAAAGTATTAACTGATGCCATTGATTTGTTCTTTAACCTCGAGACAACCACCGAGACATTTTCTCAGTGAGGGACCACCTCCACTAAGGAACCAACTCCCTCCTGAATTGATAACTAAGGGTCCCTGTGTCTCCACTTTCCTCCTCCTCGTTTTCACAAAAACCAGGAGCCCCTCTGACACAGGAATCCCTGCCCGACACCAAAGGCCATATTTGAGTGAAGCATCTCAAGCTGCTGCCTCGCATCCAAATACACAAACACGCCAATGGAGATTGGCACCAAGCTAAACATAAGGCCTCAGAAGTTGGGTCAAAACCCTCCTACGAAAGGGTGGGGGGCTCAACCTTCAGCCTGCAGAGCCCGGTTTATGTCACCCAGCCCACGGGGCTTCCCACGGGCACCAAAATGTGGCAGCGGGGAAGCGGCGGCACCCGGATGTGCGGGGAGCCCGCGGAAGGGAGAGCGCGGCCTGGCCTGCCAGGATGGGCCCTGCAGGGGACCAATTCAGCCGCTCGCCTGAGCCGCCACAAGCCCGAGCAGCGACGCTGCCCCTTGACTGCCGGGCCCGCTGCCTTCCCCGCCC